TAGTAGTTGTTGAAATGCATCTTTTAAAACCTCATTTTACAAATTCTTGACAGCCTTTCTTCTATTTTATAGTTCTCACTATAGAGTTTAAATTTACCTATCTTGTGTGTGTTTATTACAATGATGTTTGCTTTGCTTCTTGTGATAGTTGAATTTCTCATAGATATGCTAAAGAGGTTGGCTAGTTTTTTGTTTTTTTTTAAATTCTTTATTAAGGTATTACAAATGTGTCCTCATCCAGTTGTTTTATTTTAAGTAATATCTTACTTAGACTTAAAATCAGGGGCATGAGCAAACAAAAATTTTTTGTTCAATAAAATAATATGAACCTTTATTTCTTTTTTATTTTAAAAACTTGAACTGAATTTTTAAAAATAAAAATTAAAAATAAAACATTTTTATTGTTCACAGGAGAAGGAGGGCCCTTTGCAGTCTATTAAGGAAGATGATGGGAGTGGAATGGCCCAGGATGCTTTCTATGTAAAGATCAAGTTAATTTTGTGTGTGTGTGTGTGTGTGGGGAGGGGGGGCGGGGGAAGGTGTGTGTGGGGGGTGTGTGTGTGTATGTATGTGGTAACTTGTGTGTGGTCTTCCTAGTTCTCTGTTCCCTGGGCTTTCAGCATAGTTGTTCCTCCAGTTGCTCACACCAAAGACAGAGAAATCACCTTTTGCTACTTCTCCTTCCCTAATCTCTGGCAACCAGTTATCATGGGGTCTTGTGATAAGTCTAAGGTAGTCAAGCCATCTTGTGCCAGGCACTATTCTAGATGTAGGTAGGCAGTACGGAACAAAGCAAACATAGTGTGTCCTCATGGAGCTTACAGCCTTGCAGAGAGCCAAAAAACAGGTTACCAAAGGAAGGTAGTAGGGGGAAAAGGAACAGGGTATGTGATGGAGACTAAGGGTGGAGGGAGGTACTTGGCTTATTTTAGATAAGGTTCTGGAAGACAGACCTGAAAATGGGATACTGAAGCTGAGGTTTGAGGGATGACAAGGAGCCAGGAGGGTGGAAAGGTGGAGAGTAGAGTTCCAGGCCCCCTGTAGCCAGTGCAGAGGCCCTGAGGCAAGGAAGAGTTTGACTCATTTGAGGACTCAATGCCTGGGAGGGCAAACAGAGGACGCTGATAGAGAACAAACCAGGCAGAGCCCTGCAGAGCAAGGCAAAGGGTTTGGGTTATTTCCGAGCGCAGAGAAGCCAGGAAGAGTGTTAAGCAGGTGGAAGGCTGAGGTTCTGAGTCAAAGAACCTGAGTGTGAATCTCAGCTGGGTGATCTTGTGCAAGTTCTTAACCTTCCCCAGCCTTGCTATTATTATCCCCAGATAATTGAACCTCTCAGAGTGGTGGAGAGGATTAAATGAGAACATCTGCAGAACACTTAACTCACTTGGCATAAAAAGGTTCACTATGTGGTAACTTAATAAAGAAAATAATGTTTAAATATTTAATTTCAAATGTGGTCCCCCCCATTTAAATCTACACTGAGAATAAGTGGAATTTTGGTCAGTATATGGTAAAATATCTCCTATTAAAATAACATGACATGTTATAATTTAGTCCGTAGGATTGGATTGGATTTTTAAAAATAAAAAAATCATATATCTGTAGCACAGATAATTAAGGAATTGTATTATTAAAGTATATACTTAGAAGTATGTCTTGGCAAATGTTCAGAAAAAATCAGTTTTATACTGGCAATTTACATATTTGTCAGCTTTCATTATCTGTCATTATTAGTGGAGTAATTTTCTTCCTTTTATGATCATTCATGTTTCTTGGGTGATATTAGGCTTGAATTTTTTAGTGTTTTAGAATTTCTAACATTAGTGATAACACTCTTCACCCTCAGATATCTGTAACTCAAGTGCAATTTCTCTTAAGTCAGTGGTTCTCAAACTTTAGCATGATGATAATCACCTGAACACCACCCTCAGCGTTCCTGATTCCTAATAAGTCTCAGGTGATGCCCATGCTACTGGTGGTCCAGGAACCACATTTGGAAACTGCAGGCATACCTCATTTTATTGTGCTTTGCTTTATTGCACTTCACAGGTGTTGCTTTTTTTTTTTCAAACTGAAGGGAAAACCTTCTACCAGGAGAAAGGTTACGACTGGCTTTGTTGTGATACTTGCTTCATTGGGATGGTCTGGAGCTGAGCCTGCAATAACTCCGAGATGGGCCTGTACTGTCTTAAGCCAATGAACTTGCTCACTGGCTACATGACTATTTACTGCTCAAGATATAACTCTCTGTTTTATAGTTACCTTTTATTATTTCCACACTGAATTATTGTTGAGAATAGTAGTTACAAATGTTACTACAAAATTAATGTTTTTGGGAAAAAAGTAACTTGCAAACTATCAACTTTCCAGCTTCAGTCACTTATTATTGATGCATTCCATGGTAAAGGATTTCAGAAAATAAAAGAATATTTTCAACAGAGAGGGAGCCACATTCCTCAAAAATATAATCATCTTGAATTATACCATCTTGACAAATCTATAAATAAGGCAAGTAAGTTGTTCTGTTATCTGACCAGAATCCCAGTGTGTAATGATACTTTGTCAGGCTTTCCCTCCAGTTTTATTTAAATGTAATTAACATGCAGCACTGTATACGTTTAAGGGATATGGTATAGTGATTCGACTTATATATGGATGGGAAATGATTGCCACAGTAAGTTTAGTTATCATCTGTCATCTCATATAATACAAAATAAAAGAAAATTTAAAATATAGATATTTTTTCCTTGTGTTGAGAACATTTAGAATCTACCCTCTTAACTTTCACTGTAAGACTTCTAACTTAGCGTGGTCTCATACCTAGGAACTGGATAAAAATGAATTTCAGCATGTTTCACTGTTGCTGAAATGTATTCAGTGGTTCTTCATTGATGGTCTCAAAGAAGATGAACCTTGGCTAGTTCAGCATTGACTGATCCCAAAGATAAGTGTCCTGTTTTAATTTTGTATGGCTTTGGGTAACTTAAAGAACTAGAGTGGATTCAGTTATCTCATGAAGTTTGGTATTTTCTGTTCCTTTAAAATCAAATATGAAAACAAATTGGTAACGAAGTTTATTGCCCATTAGAGGCCCGATGCACGAAATTCATACAAGAGGAGGCCTTCCTTCCCCCAGCTGCCGGCACCGGCTTCCCTCTAGCACCCAGGATCTGGGCTTCACTCGAAGCCCCGGCTTCATCCAGAAGGTTGTCTGGAAGGACATCTGGTTTAATTAGCATATTATGCTTTTATTATTATAGATATCCAATCAAAACTTGAGGTCAACATATGTTTCCTGATGGAGGTGCTGGACAGGGCACTTTGGGAGCCTACAGCAAGGAGTCAGACACCACCTCCTTCTCCCCTTGACAAACCAATGCAGTGATCACATGTTTTAGTTATTTTAGTGAATTTGACTCAGGAATACAGGATGAGAGGAGTAGACTGTTCTACACTTCTTCCCCATCAAAGGCTCTAAAAGTATTTTAATAGACGTTAGTAACAAGATTGGACCTAGATAAGTTATCAAATACTTCTCCTTGCCATAGCCCACTTTCCAACTTTCTAAAAGTCCCAGTTAAAGCAGAAAAAAAAAAATGGCAAAAACATTTTATGTTTATTTTAGGTCATCCCAATTATGAAATCCTATTCTGCTTTTTAATTAACTAGAAGGTAACATTATGGGTGCCTTATAATGGCATCTGGAAGCAAAGCAGAGTTCCCTTTTCATGATGAGATTCGGGTTTACTGGGTCTGTGATGGGTCCCAGGCCTTCGGTGATTCAGAGCTCCCAGGGTTCCGCTAATGTGCAGCCAACGGTGAGAGCTGATTGATTTGTTCATGGTCTTCAGCGGGTGTGCCTTGTGTTCTTGGCTCCAAATTGGACAGCTTCCAAGCCCCACTCCTGTAAGAATTGTTCATCATGAGCTCATGTCACCGACCTTGTGTTCAACTGGTAATTTCTAACTATGCACGCCGGGTTTTCCCTTTTTCTTTTTTTTTTCTGTAAGAGTGAAAATGGCCTTTGCTTAATTGAATAAATATGTGGTAGGAGGGTTTATAGAAGTTTATTTTAAATCATACCAATCTTAGCAATGTAATATGAATTCAGATATATATGCCTGTAGAAGAGAAAAATCTCCAAGTAGCTAGAAAAGAAAGGCAAAAGAAATGTAGCCAGATGTAGGCATATGTACTGTACTATGCATACTTCTGGAGCACATTCCAAATTCTGCATCTCTTTGGATAGCTTGTCTTCTACAGCTTCCCAGAGGACAGGAACTCCTCCTGTGCTGGGAGCTCATTTACCTCTTCACCTTTCCTCACTAGTCCCTTCATGTGCCTCTCTGGCATTGCTACTGGCCGAGTCTAACCATTTCTTGCTGGTATCTGAGAGCTTACCGCAACTCGGTAGCAGTATGATACCATCCTGGAGTGTTCTAAATGGAGGCCTCAGAGCCAGGCCCAGTGGAACTGATGGAATGGGAAAAGGTCTTTAAAATTATTTGCTCTAGTGAAAGAATTATCTTACGGAATTTTATCGAATAGGGAGTAATTATGCAGTCATGGGAGTTCCATCTGTGTTTCTTCTTCTCATGCACATGGCTACCTGGTTTGAAAGAACAGTAGAATTTCTGACCATGGAAGATCTCGCTTCAGACACATCCCTGACTAATGTCATGGAAGACTTCTTTGACACAGTGCTGGTAAGGAAGGGGGTGGATGCTTTGCTGAATAGATAACATTGGTAATTTGCAGGAATCTTTGAGTTATTTCTAAAACTTACATTTTTCTAAGATGTGGGTTTTACTAAAAATGTTATTATTAGAATATTATGTTAAATAGAAGCAAGCATTAATATAATCAATGTTATAAAAAGATGAGGTGTTTTATTTTCGTACATACTAGTATATTATTCACCTGATTGAGAGTGATATGCTGTTTTTAATAAAGTGAAGATCAAATAGGATTTCTCTAAATTTTTTTCTACTGTATTTAAAGTCAATTCTGCCTGTTAGAGAAATGGCAGCATTAATGTATTAGCATTATAGTTTATAATGTTTTATTTTAAGTACAAACTTTACTTTTTCTCGTTTTATTAGATTATTTCCAGAAGGAGTAGTAAAGGTAAGTGAATTATTTACCACTAATTTCCTATTTACTTTTTATTAATAGAATATTCTGTTACAGGGAGAATATTTATCTAAATGATATATAAAGGTAAAATGGCTTTAACTGTTATATTTGCATTTATTGACCATCATATGTGATGTTGAAGTGAGTTTTGTTGTAAAGTTTGCCCCAGCCTGAGGACTACCTTAATTTAGCTGCTCCTATCCCATTGGCTACCTGCTCTATTCAGACTGGAGAGCCACTTTTGTCACGAGGAACCAGCGAAGTTTAGCTCTTACTGATTTGACTTGGAGCTGATTCAGATTCCTTCTGTCTTTCGAGAGTGTAAAAGGCAAAATTTTAGAATATTTGGAAGTTATACTGATAATTCTGTTCCATTTACTCAAAGGTAATTGGATATCTTGAATTATGATACTTTGGATTCAAGCACACTGAAAATATTTGAACATTTCAGAAATTGAGGCCACCTTAAAATGGATATGTTCTCTTCCTATTGTCTAACTTCTTATTTTTCTTTTGAGAAGCTGTTATTAAATTGATATTATATTCTACAATGGATGGTATCTCATAAGAGAGGAAATTCAATGCTAGAAGATTAGTTATATGGTGTTTACTTGATTAAAACAATAAAAAGGTCCCCCTATTCTAGTCAGTGGATCCAGATACTTTCAAGCCAATTTTTTATGAACTTCATAAGTGATAGTTACTGTCTCTAAAATTGATTAATGAAATACACAATAGTAAAACTACTTTGAATTTTGTAACATTTAAAAATAAATTTGTCTTTTATTACAGCAGTGGATATCATTGCATATTTGGGAAAAAAATACATATGAGAGAGATCTAGTTAGTACATTGCTCTAGATGTACTAACTGTTTTAATAATCCCCGGCTGCCATCACAAAATACCATAGGCTTATTGGCTTACCCAACAGAAATTTATTTTTTCACAGTTCTGGAAGCTGGAAGTTTGAGATCAGGATGCCAGGATGTTGGGTTCTGGTGAGAACTCTATTCCTGGCGTGCAGATGGCCACCTTCTTGCTGTGTCCTCACATGGCAGAGAACAAGTCAACTCTTGGGTGTCTTGTCTTATAAAGGCACTACTTTCATCATGGGGACCTCACCCTCATGACCTCATCTAGTTCTAATCACCTTTTCTAAGGAGCCCATTTCAAATGCCATCACATTCAGGTTAGAGCTTCAACCTGTTAATTTTGGGGGAAAACACGTAAACCCATAGCAATGACAGTTTGTGCTTGGAGCCCATTCTGGCCACATGTGAAAATCTGCAAGTGTCAGATTTTCACATGTGAACTCTGACAGTCATTTTGCCAGGGGAATTGTTATGTCCAGGCTCTACAAAATTGGGAACTAATCTCTTTCTTTGAAGTACAAAGATGTTTTCACTGACGTTCCCCTATCCTCCTGCCATTGATAGAATTATTCTTTCCATTTTGTTCCAAGACTTATGTCATCTTACTGGATTGTTCCATTTTATAATTCCTTTTGTTTTGTGCTTTGCTATATGGGTTATATTTTCTTTCACAATTTGCTTCTCTCTAGTGGTTTGAATAGCTTATGTTCGAGTTTTATTATACTCAATCTAATTATCAGCATCAAAATTATAGCACCATATTTTTTCTTTCTACTATATAGTAAGGAATTCAATTTTTATTCCTCCTCCATCTTTCACCTCCTCCATTAATCTTGGTTGTAGGCCTGGATAATGGATATATCTTTGTAAACAGTATTTACTCTTTGCCTTGTGCTGCAGTTCTATTTACAGTAATTACTTAAGGTCACTACCAACCTGTTTATACTGTGATGTCCTCATTCTTCTGTGTTATCTCCATCTGCTATAATATATTTGGAAGAGTGTTATTGGGGTGTGTGGGTTGGATATAGTCAGAGCTTCTTTTTAAAAAAAAATATTTTATTGATATTTTACAGAGAGGAAGAGGGAGAGATAGAGAGTTAGAAACATCGATCAGCTGTTTCCTGCAGACCTCCTACTGGGGATGTAGGTACATGCCCTTGACCGGAATCGAACCCGGGACCCTTCAGTTCGCAGGCTGACACTCTATCCATAGGAGCCAAACCGGTTAGGGCTAGTCAGAGCTTCTTATTGTTTAAGAATGCCTTTGTGGCTTTTATACACTCTTGCTTTGCAGATTCTCATTGACTTCTAATATTAAATGTTGAGAGCATTGCACACACAACAAATTTGTTTTAGCTGGTTCTTGAGTTATGTTGAATCAAATCTTACTTCCTTTTGGGACATTTTCTTTGATAACTTTATCAGTTAGCGCAGCATTTCTCAACTCTGACAGTATTGCCATTTGGGGCCAGATAATTCTTTGTTTTGGGGTGATTGTCCTGTACATTTAGGATGTTTGGCAGCTTTCATAGCCTTTATCCACTAGATGCCAATAGCAGCCCCTCCCACTTCCCCAGTTGTAACAAGCTAAAAAAAAATCTCCAAAAATTGCTAAGTGCCTCCCTGGGTGAAGGTGGGGGTAAAAATCATCTCTAGTTGAAAGCCACTGAATCAAATCTTACTTCCTTTTGGGACATGTCACAATATACCAAAAGTGTTTTTTTGGTATATGTTCAGGTAGGCTTGACTGATAAAGATAAATTACAGGCACAGGAGCTAAAAAGTCCAGAGACAGGAGTTTCAGGAGAAATTTGGTTGTAGCTATGCCCCATTCACTGCAGTTCTTTCAATTCCACCTTCCTCAGACTCTCGAGTCTCCTTTCAAGTTGGTCTCCCTTGATGGTTGTTAGATGGTGGCCAGTAACCAGCACTTTGTGTTTCTAGGTTCATGTCCAGAGAAAGAAATGTTCTCTTTCTTCAACCATCAAAAGAAAGCCCTAGCTTTACTCTAACGGGATGCCCCTTAATGAACCAATCATTATGCAAAGATGAATGGGATGTCCCATCATAGCTTAAGCCAATCAGGATCCACCCCTGAAGCAAGTCCGCCCATCCCATAGAAAGACTCTGCATAACAGAGGAAGGGGAAAGGATGATGGGAAGGCACCAAAAAGTCCATTACAGTTACTCCTTCCATTCTAGTCTCTTTGTAAGATTATCTGTTATTCATCCATTACATCTTTTTTGTCTTCATATGCATCATTTTTTTTGTCATTTCCCCCTGTTTATTTTGAAAGCAGTTCTTAAGTTTTTCTTGGAAGCCATCGCTTTAACTAATTCTGCTCATTGCTTCCAGTGTAGACTTGAATTCTGCTATCACATCTTTGCTTCCTGTGGTGGGTGTGATCTGCCTCTACTTTTATATCCATCTCTCTCTCTCTCTCCTTTGTATTATAGAGAACTATTTTTTCTAGGTTTTCTTATCAACTGGCTGCCTGCTAGGTTTAGCCAAAGGAAAGAAATTAGAAGCAGGAAGGAGCAGAGAAGGCATTTCTCCCCTCCCTTCTGGGGAAGTGCCACCTCCTGGAGTGTCTGCATAGTCTCTGTGGCTCTGGCCCATTCATGTTACTAGAGCAGTGATGGCGAACCTTTTGAGCTCGGCATGTCAGCATTTTGAAAAACCCTAACTTAACTCTGGTGCCGTGTCACATATAGGAATTTTTTGATATTTGCAACCATAGTAAAACAAAGACTTATATTTTTGATATTTATTTTATATATTTAAATGCCAATTAACAAAGAAAAATCAACCAAAAAAATGAGTTTGCGTGTCACCTCTGACACGCATGTCATAGGTTCGCCATCACTGTACTAGAGCTTTTGCTAGGTGACCTTGGTTCTTGGGATCTGGTAATACCTCCCACTTCCTCTAAGTGACTTTGGGGGAGGGTGCAGCTGGGAAGGGGCTAGTAATTATGTTAATGATGTTAATTTCTGGGCCACCTCACTGTTTCCAATTTGACTTCTTAGCTTCTTTCATTGTTTTTGTAATTAATTTCCTGTATTAAGTTCCCTCAGATTGAAATATCTAGAATAACTTCAGTTTTCATATTACATGTTTCTTTCTCATTTACTTCTGTGTTCTCTATGTTCATCTTAGACTGTTGCCTTTTCTTGCAGATCTAATTTTTTATTTCATAGAATTCTGTGTTCGTTTGAGATGATAACTCAGATGCTTCAAAAAAAAATTTGTTTCCTGAAGTAAGCATATTTTCAAAAGTCACTTTTCTGCTACCTCTTGACTTGCCATGCTCCTCTCTCCTTTTTCAATGGACAGTATGTTAGGTCTGATCAAATAATTGAATCAACATCCCCTCCCCTGGGAACTGACCTTTAGGCCCCTTCACAACTGACATTGCCTTTTGCTTAGACCACATTTTAGTTGCTAAGACCACATTCCACTTGCTAAGACCATTATCTTTCCCTCAGAACCTGCCCAGATAATTCTCCGCCCAGAAAAAGCCCGCCTAGAGTCCTTTAAAACCTCTGATTCCTGGTCCCTGGGTGCTGGTGCCATTTTGGGGCTCAGCCCATCTGGTATCCAGATGACCTAATAAATTCAAAATTCTTTACCCACTTTGGCCTCATGCGTTCCTCCTTTGGCAACCCTAACATTATATTTGTTAGTTTTTCTTTATTACCCTTTAAATGAAAAGATCTAATGACAGCTGATATTTGCTAATAGGGTGCATTAATATCTTTAAGGTCCCCTGCTGTTCACCTGGGCTCTGTTAGAATCTTCATCTCAAGTTATAAGGTGACAGGCAAGTTGTTGCCACAGTCCCTAGCCATATATCTGGTTTCCAGAGATTATCTAGCAGTATTAATCTGGCTCTTTTGGGATTGGAGAGGGATCTTTAAAAAACAAACAAACATTTCTATTGATTTTTAGAGAGAGAGGAAGGGCGATGGGGAGAGAGAAAATTTATGTGAGAGCAAAACTGCAATTACCCACAACTGGGAATTGAACCAGCAACATTTTGGTGCATGGGACAATGTCCAAACAACTGAGCCACACTAGTGAGAAGAGGGACCTTTTAAAGAACTGCTTTCTGGTTTGGGTTCCTACAATTTCATGAGTTACATAGGAGTTTAATAGTATATGATATGCGATGAATAATTCATATATCAAAATTGCACATCTGAACCTATCAAAATAATACTGTGATCTTACTATACATTTTTGCAATGTACACTACTGCTGTCATTTCGTATCTTATCAGAATGTGCTTAACTAAAATAAAAAATAATCTCTCTATATAAAAGCCTAAGCGACTGTTTGACTGTTCAACTGGTAGCTATTATGTGCACTGACCACCAGGGGGCAGATGCTCAGTGCACAGGCATGGAAACATGTAACAGACTGATGAATCTCAGAGGGAAGAGGGGAGGGTGACAAAGGGTTAACTAAAGATCTCATATGCGTACTAGGGGTCCCTCGGCCTGGCCTGCACCCTCTTGCAATCTGGGACCCCTTGGGGGATGTTGGAGAGCCAGTTTAGGCCTGATCCCCGCAGGCCAGGCTGAGGGACCCCACCGACGCATGAATCTGTGCACCGGACCTCTAGTTGTTTAATAAACATCGAGTATTACCATAAAACATTTACAAGCTATGTACCGACATCTAAATAGTTGTTGACGTTTCTGTGATTATGCTATTTAATAAAGGTCAACACTTTACTTAAAAAGAATTCCTACTTCTGTTAACATAAGACCTTTACATTTTTTAATTTTTAACCCAGGTGGTGTGGCTTAGTGGTTGAGTGTTGACCTATGAACCAGGAGGTCATGGTTCAATTCCCAGTCTGGGTACATGCGTGGGTTGCAAGCTCGACCTCCAGTGTGGGGCGTACAGGAGGCGGCTGATATGATTTCTC